CGAAGGATCTACAGGAAAGCACCACCTGTGAGCCCGAAACACCTCACAAAACAAAACTTAGGTTGGCAAAGTCTAACTGTGCCTCTCAAAGAGAGAGCCATAAAGCACGAGGGGCACCAGGGCTTTGCTGTCACGACAGCAGCTGAACCCAACGTGAGCAGGGTCTGATGGAACCGCTGCGCAGGGACGGAGCTGCTCGGTGACACCAACGGGCTCAAACACGTTCAAAGAGAGCGTTACAACAACCCCAAGGGTCAAAAACAACAATTAGAATTTGTAATATGCAAACTTGTTAAAAAAAATTAAAAATATAGGGGTGTTTTAATAACAGCACTTCATTAAGGCTTCCTAATTAAGCACTCGGTCCCTTGCTGAGTGTCAGTGACTGTGCAACTCCCTGCACCTACCGAGGCTTCGGGCACGAGGAGTATCTGCAGCTGCAATGCTTGTGCTGTGAAGCCCAATACAGACACCAGAGCCGTGAAATCAGGGTCCTCTGTAGCTGCCATAGGTCATAATAACACAGAAAACATTTCATCTGCTCTTAATTGGGCAGATACACAAGTGGAACACTCCAAACAAAGATAAGTAACCCAAACAACAGAGGTGATTTTCCTGGGATAACTACAGCTTGCTTTTCCCAAGTTACACACAGCCTTCACTCATCCCCTTAGATCTACAATGTGACATTTCAGTTTATTCACACCAGAGAAAATGATTTAGTGAGACAGGAAACAAATCAATTTGGTCGAGAAAGCGCAATTAACATACACAAGCGAACAAAATGTTACTCGAGTCCCCAAACTGTTCTAATATTAATGCTTCCCTTTGATAATCCGCAGCTAATGGGTAAATCCAAACTCCAACATTTAGTAAGTTTTGTTCCGACGTCCCAGCCCGGTGTGGGGCTCACGGGGGGCACCGGTGCAGGGAGACCCACTGTGGGTCTGGCAAAGGCTGCCTGTCCCCTCTGGCTGTGTCACAACTCACCCCGGCCTCAGTGCAGGGCTCCTCGGGGTGACACATCTCACCACAGCCCCGAGAGGAACGTTCTGGCAGCCACGCTGTGTTACACAAGCCATTTCATCTGCTCGGCACTTGGCGCTGCTTTCCCAGCATAAGGGTACACACTCACATGCCAAGACCCTTCTTTTCTCTTTTTTTTTTTTTTTCCTCCTTATTTTTGAGCACTCTGATTAGAATAGAAGTTATGCAAATCACAGACAGGTTTATTTTTAGCCTGCTTTCCATAGGAAGCAAGACATGCAATTACACCCTGCATAATTTCGAGGCCCACTAACCTATTTCAGCCAGTGTTTGGCAGAGCAGGAGCCTGACAGACGCTGTGTTCACCAAGATGCTGGGTGTCTGCTCTCCTGGGACAGGATGAGCTTCTCGGGGGACCAGCCACCAGGGCACAGAGGATGTCACAGCAAAGACATCCTTCAGCGGTGCCCGGCAGCGCAAGGTCCATTGCAGCTGGAGCCATAAACCCAGTTTGCACAACAGCAAACCGGGCTCTCAAACACGGGACACATCCCAAACATCCCCCCCTTGGCATCACTCCGGCTCTCAAACAGGGGAAGGACATGTCCCAAACATCCCCCCTTGGCATCACTCTGGCTCTCAAACAGGGGACACATCCCAAAAATTGTCCCAAACACCCCCACTTGGCATCACTCCGGCTCTCAAACAGGGGACACATCCCAAAAATCCCCACTCGGCATCGCTGTAAAGCACAGCGATCATTTCCAATGCACACAACGTGGTTCACTCCCCATGGGAACACCATCGACAGGCTCTCTGGGGACCCACAGCCCTGTGGGGCAGGGACCCCCCCCCCAGCACTGGGCACAGGGAACGGAGCAGCTCCTGCTCCGGGGAACAGTCATTATGCAGTTTTTATGAAGGAGTTAGAGCTTCTCAAACCGGCTTTTCAAGGCGCTGGGGAAGTCCCGGCGCTCCCAGAGACAGCCGCAGCATTCCCCATCCAGAGGAGAGCCACCAAGCTGGTGAGGGGTCTGGAGAACAAGTCCTATGAGGAGAGGCTGAGGGAACTAGGCATGTTTAGTTTGGAGAAGAGGAGGCTGAGGGGAGACCTCATTGCCCTCTACAACTACCTGAAAAGAGGTTGTAGAGAGGCAGGTGTTGGCCTCTTCTCCCAAAGGACAAACGACAAGACCAGAGGAAATGGTCTGAAGTTGGGGCAGGGGAGATTTAGATTAGATATTAGAAAGAATTACTTTACTGAGAGGGTGGTCAGGTACTGGAACAGCCTGCCCAGGAAGGTGGTGGAGTCACCATCCCTGGAGGTATTTAAGAAACGTAGAGACATGGCTCTTCAGGGCATGCTCTAGTGCCCAAGGTTATTGATTTATGGCGAGGTGTTGAGTGTGGGGTTTAGTTGGTGGGTGTGGTGTTTTTGGTGGGCGTTTGGTGGTTTTTTTTTTTGTTTGTTTATTTGTTTTTTGTGGTTGGACTCTATGATCTCAGAGGTCCCTTCCAACCACTAAGATTCTGTGATTCCAATCCCGGGGACAGCCCGCGCTGGGCCAGGGGGGCAGGGAATGGGAGCTGTGGGTCAGAGCCGAGCCTTGTGCTCTCGGGGACCCCCAGCACTCAAACACCAACACCCGAGTGCCAGGTGTTGTGCAGGAGGGAGCACCCATCACCCCTCACACCCAACAACCCACCGCCTTCACCCCACCAACTCCCTCCTGCCGGAACGCCGTTTTCAAGGGAACTCATGTTTGTGGTGCTGCTGTTGAAGCAATCACAGAGGAAAGAGCATTTCCCTATAGTTAAGTTAATCATCATGTAATATTAAAAATGAAAGGAATTTATCTTTTCCCTTGCACAGCACATCCTATTATTTCATCACTATTCATTTCGTAAGATTTATTTTCGGTTATGGCACGCAGGATTTTCAATTAAATATGAAATAGTGCTTTCTCTGTGAAGAGAAAGTGTGAAGAGCTGGATGCCAGCAAAGCAGAACGGCTCAGCCTTTGGGATTCAGCTGCTTCCAAGCGAAGTACGAGTGAGAACTGGCATTTCCCTGGCAGTGTCAGCACCCTCTCCCCTGCAGGAGCCCAGCTCCGTGGCCAGTGCCCACCCAGCAGCTCCCCAGTGGTGGGACCCATCCCCACCAACAGCTACGGCTTGTTCAGAAGAGCTGTCAGGAGCCACTGTGTGCTCACCTCTGGGGCTTGGCCTATTAATTGAAATGTCTAACAAGCTCAGGCAGCCGAGGCTGATGTACTCCTCCTCCTCCTCCTTCCTTGAGCTCCAGGAGCAGCAGGGTCAGGCAGGTACCAGGGGTCTGAAACTGCTGCAAGTGTTTGCAACAGCCGTGTGTTTGGGGCTCCCCAATTCAAGAGGGACAGGGAACTACTGGAAAGAGTCCAGCAAAGGGCAACAAAGATGATTCAAGGATTGGAGCATCTCCCTTATGAAGAAAGGCTGAGAGAGCTGGGACTCTTTGGTCTGGAGAAGAGAAGGCTGAGGGGAGACCTTATCAATGCCTACAAGTATCTCAAGGGAGGGTTGAAGGAGGAGGGAGCCAGACTCTTTTCAGCAGTTGCCAGTGAGAGGACGAGGGGCAACGGGCACAAGTTGGAACAGAAGAGGTTCCACTCAAATATGAGAAAAAATTCTTCACAGTGAGGGTGACAGAGCCCTGGAACAGGCTGCCCAGGGAGGTCGTGGAGTCCCCTTATTTTGAGATTTTCAAGACCTACCTGGATGCAGCCCTGAGTAACATGCTCTGAAAAGTTCTAGGCAATCCTGCTTCAGCAGGGGAGTTGAACTAGATGATCTCTATGGTCCCTTCCAACTCTAAAAATTCAGTGAAATCCAGTGAAAAGTGCCTGCCTGTCCCAGCTCCCGGGCACCCGCGGACCCCGCAGCTCCTGCCCGTGCCCAGCACCGAGTTGGGGAAGAGTTTAACATTTGGGGAGCTCCTGCCCATACCTGCCATGGGGGTGCCACCCGACCAAAGGTGCCTGCCCCCTCCGAAAAGTGGCACCAGGGGGTTGAGACGTGCTTTGTCCCAAGAGGGTCCCGGGGCAGGACGGGGCTGGGTGACAAGGGTGGGGTGACGAGGGACAGCCGGGCTTTAACGAGGTGTCATGGAGATAAGAGAGTGCATTATCAACCCCACTTGAAATGCAATTATGAAACCACCCATTTGCAGCAGCGATTCAGCCAATGCAGTATTTTAGCAGATGAGCCTGCTCTGAAGTATAAGCTTCATTAGGCTTTAGCTGATTACATCTCCTGTCCTAAACGATTGTTCATCATTTATTTTTATGGTCATGCAGGCAGAGAATTTGCAACATAAAGTAGGAATCACTATGTTGATGCAAAACAATGCAGTAGCTTTAAATTTACAGGAAGACTTACAATTTACTAAGAAAATTTGCATCATCATTGTTCCCACTCTAAAATGTTCCATAAATTAGTGTTTGGACCCGGAGGGACTCAGAAAAGAATGTGGGTGAACTAAAAGTCATTTAGTAAATCCAACAGTCGAGCAATTCCTATCCTACAGATTAAGCACACAAAAAATCACAAAAATAGACTCAACTCCATCTAAGAACAAAGCTCAGCTATTACATCCCTACAAAAATGGCTTATATACCAAAATGTACCATTATTATAACCTACTTAGATATTATTTTCTCTCTAGGGCAACACTAGTAGCAGTAAAAAATTAAAAAGATTGAGTTGCGCTGCGTCCATTTGAATCCAGACTGCAATGTTCGCCTTTTTCCCCTAAAAATTATCTACTGAACTGAGAGTTATTTGAGTTTTTACTCTCCTGATTTAGTTTAATGGCGAGTGGTAAGAAAGAGGAAAGCAGATGGGAACACGCCGGCTGGTGCAGAGCCCCACTGAGGGGCCAGTGCTGGCCCTGGGGGGAGCCCACCTTGCCCAGGCACCGGGCTGCTGCTGGGTGAGCCACGGGCACTGGGGGGGACACACTGGGGGGGACACACTGGGGGGGACGGGTCCAGAGATGATGCCGACTCCACGATGTAGAGGGTGTTGGTGGAACGAGACCCCATGATGGGTAGCACAGCCCCCAGTGTCACCACGGCCATCACCCCGAGTCCCCAACACACTGGGGGGACACACAGTGCTGGGAACGGGTCCAGAGATGATGCCGACTCCATGATGTAGAGGGTGTTGGTGGAACAAGACCCACGATGGGCAGCGTAGCCCCTGGTGTCACCACGGCCATCACCCCGAGTCCCCAAACTGAAACACCATCACTGGAGGAACAACCAAACTCCCTACAGCCACATCTGACCTGAGCACTTCCTGGGAACCAGCGACTGATCCGTCAGGAGACACTGCTGAGCTTTTCAGACAGTAGGCACCTTGAAGAACCTTAGGTACCCAGTGTAATTCCCTGTTGGTGGGTGCCATATGCTGTGCACCACGAACACGCCTCTGACATCTGACAAGAAACAGCATTTCACAGGCAACGACTGGGTCTTTCGTAATAGAATTAAATTAGTTTACTTCCTTGGGCAGAAACTTACCATCTGCCCAAATGCTGGTGTTCTGCCTTACAGTTCGCCAAGGAATTTACTGCCAGGATTATAGAAAATATTAAATTTTTGTTTGAAGTGCAATATAAAGTCAATTATTTGGCAACCTAGTATGTATTCCCGGAGTATAAAAAACAATCCAGAAGCACGGTATCTCTGAGCGGTAGTAAAAATTAACAGGACAAATATATTGATGTTTTTAAGTTTTATTATTTGCATATGTTCTAACATCGTGAAGTTACTTAAAAGTTTAAAGCCTACTTAGATTTTAGAAGTCCTTAACGATACTGTAAATGCCCTAAGCCACTGTGCCACACAGAGGGAGACACACCAGGGATTCAGAGCAGCTCTATGGAGGGAAGCCACGGTACTCTGGGCAGAGGGGCTTATGCCTCACGCAGGAGATGGCATCCACGTGGCCAAACCAAAGAAAATTATACAAATGAAAAACCTTACACTTCTCGTTACATCATCAGAGAAGGGCATCTAACGCCTTGCAGGAAATGTGATGTTTGCATTCTTTCTGTCAGTGCCAAATTAAAAACCTTACACTTCTTGTTACATCATCAGAGAAGGGCATCCAATGCCTTGCAGGAAATGTGATGTTTGCATTCTTTCTGTCAGTGCCCGCACTGCCCTCATGGCACCCAGCACGTGTGAGCAGGGACTCAACCAGTCCAACCCCAGAGGAAGGCTTTTTGGGAAAGAAGAACAGCTTTTTGGGAAAGAAGAACAGCTTTTTGGGAAAGAAGAACAGCTTTTTGGGAAAGAAGAACAGCCCATGAGCAAAGCAAACCCAACACCAACCCTAACCCCAACCATCCTCCCCCAACAGCAACCCTTTCCTCTCGCCACTCCTGGCCTCCCCGTGTGCCTGGTCCCATCCCACTCACATCTGTCCCCCCAGCTCCCGTGGGGCTGTCCCCCCAACCCCGTCCCACTCCCAAACCTCCCCCCAAACACACACCCAACGGGGAAAACCCCCGCTCCTTCCCACAACCCAACTGCAGCAAAACACGTCTGAAACCAGCCCCATCCCCAGAGCAGCCACCCCGGAACCTAAATGGTAATTCTGTATTTTGTAAACACATCTTTGGTTTAACAGACCCTCCCCTCCCACCCAAGTGCTGAACAGCGGGGTTCACAGCTCACACATTTTCCTCCAAATTTACTCTTCAAACTGCTATTGCTCGCCATGAGTAAGGGGTCAGAGCGGCACAGCCGGGCTGTTCCGCTGGCAGCAGGGGCAGAAGGGCTCTGTCGGGGGTAACAAGGGAAGGGTGACAGCATTCACAGACCAGCGCGCTCGTTTATTTCTCTAATGAGGAAAAAAAACCCCAGGCATTGCAGCAGAGAATTACTCCAGAGGGCAGGCTGTGGTAACTGCAGCCGCAGCTCTAAATTACATAGCCAGAAGGTCACGGCGATCTTTATCTCCCTCCCTCACACGCACTCACCCGTAGATACAGCAACAGCAACTCCATCCCACTAACAGAGTTAACCTTGAATTTAGAAGTTGACTTTAAATGGCCGGGGCTTTTTGTCCATTCCTGGGCTTTGCTGCTGCTGGATGAACGTCTTCACATAACCGCAGGTAAGAATTTTACACCACTAATAACTATTTTGCTTTATTGATGGTTGAAGTTCAGATATCCCCGCTGTGGCTCACGTCATTCAAATCATGACACACCCCATGCTTAGAAAACAGAAATGTTCTGTTTTACCAATAAAGGGTTAAGGAGTTTAAGTCAGCTCAACTGACCTTGATATGACTTACCCACAGCACAGTCAGCTCTCCGGCAACACAGATGGTTGACCTGATGTTGCCAGTGTTTTAAGCTCAGAAAATGCTGCTGCTTTTTTTAAAAAAAAAAAAAAAAAATTATTATTATTATTTCCCCATGCTGTGTTTACTGTTTTACATATGCCTCTGACTGCCAAGGAATTGTTAACTAATCACCATGAGATTCATTCTGTTAGCACACAGCTGGGTACTTGGTCATGCAACATCTGCTTCTCAGCATTTCTGCTCTTCCTTATCTCTCGGTGGTTTGTAAGAAAAGTGTCTCAGCGGAGCGTGTCAGTCAGTACGTGCAAAACCAAGCTGGTAAATGAGTTTATTAACTAACAGCTATTAAAACATAACCCTTCAGATTACTAACGAACCCATGTCTCTTACAGAATGGAAACCCCACGCAGAGCAGACACGGGGAGGGTAAGGGATGTTCGGCTTCCCCATGGCAGGGTGTGAGGCTGCTGCAGCCCCGCAGGAGAGCACACCGGGAATCACACCCGCTCCGGAGCCGGTCCCTGGCCAGTGTCACCACCCAGGGTCCCTGCTCTGACACCCCACTCATGGCCCTCCCGTGGGGACGAGCCCCAGCTACAGCCCCACCGCAGCAAGGTAACCGCCATTTCCATTTCTACTTAAAAACCTAAACAATCTGATTTTAGGAGGGGACCGTGGCTGCAGATCCAAATGGCACACACCACAGAATGACATGGGGTTGGAAGGGACCTCTGGAGATCATCTCCTCCAACCCCCTGCCAGAGCAGGTCCCACAGGAACGTGTCCAGGCAAGGACGGAATGTCTCCAGAGAAGGAGACTCCACCACCTCTCTGGGCAGCTTCTTCCAGGGCTCTGCCACCCTCAAAGTGAAGAAGTTCCTCCTCATGTTCAAGTGGAACTTCTTACATTCAAGTTTGTGCCCAGTTCCTCTTGTCCTGTCCCTGGGCACCAGTGAAAAAAGACTGGCCCCATCCTCCTTACGCATTTATAGGTGTTGATCAGACTCCCCCTCAGCCTTCTCTTCTCCAGACTAAAAAGACCCAAGTCCCTCAGCCTCTCCTCATCAGAGAGATGCTCCAGGCCCCTCATCATCTTCATAGCCCTCTGCTGTCCCCTCTCCAGCAGTTCCCTGTCCTTCTGGAACTGGGGAGCCAGAAACTGGACCCAGTGCTCCACTCATGCCCAGCTTCTCTGACCTTGCCCTCCTTTCTCCAGGCACTATAAATGGCCACAAAACACACACACCAGCGCTGAACACAAACCAAAGTCTAAAGACCAGGGCAGGAGGTAACCGCTCCTGGCAGACGATAACTTGGACGATAATCGATGAGATGCGGTGATTAACTTTCACCAGTTGCTTTCAGGTTAATTTTTTGCCCCCCCCCAAAAGTTTGGCACGAGGTAGATGTTGTAAGCACAATAATGCTCCTGTCATTGTAGCTGGGTGACCCTCTCTGTCCCCCATCCTGTACATACAGACCCCCAGAGAGGGTCACCCAGCTACAGTGACAGGAGCTCGGGAGGGCTGCCAGCCATCCTCTGCGGGCAGCTGCCTCTGCCTCATTTCTATCTGCTTAAAGAGCTGGCCCCGCTCAAGACTTGACACAGAAACAGAATTCTCCTAAGAAAGCACTTCAAATAAAGAGACGGCTTTGAAGGCAGAGCCCAAATCTCATTTCTGCTCTCCCTTCACCATCAGTCAGAAGCGGGATGTGGGCGTACACCCCAACAGGAAAACCCAAACTGACAGCACGGGAGATTTTCCCTGTATTTATTGGATCATTCCCTTTTCTGTCATCCCTGTCGGACCGTGTAGGTTCCGCAGTAATCTCTTTGAAACGCTGGGAGATGCTGTGCTCTGGCTCTAGCAAAGAGCAGATATTTCTGTTACCCACAGTAGATGCTTCTTATTAAAATGCTTCCTTTCTCTGTGCTTCCACCATACACACACAAACCTGAAGGTAAGACTTCTAAAAGATTGCCTTTTTCATTTGAATACATGTATGTGATATTATATATCATATACACAGCCAGTCTTAGTGACCCTTCTAAAAGATTGCCTTTTTCATCTGAATACATGTATGTGATATTATATACCATATATCATATACACAGCCAGTCTTAGTGACTCACTCAAACTTCCATGTAAGTTGCTTTTATATCTCTCTCTGTATACATATAAATTTACCAATATAATAAGACATATAGCTAGATGATGGAAAACTCTCCTGAACCTACAATTGTAAGAATTACATCAAGTAATTCTGACAGCAGGTACCTGTCCTAATCATCTCACAAAAGACCCTTCCTAATTCTACTCATCACATGGAGCCAGAGTCAGGCAGCAGTTCCACAGCCAGCACTTGACTGGGTCTAAAGAAACCCATTTAAATTCCAGAACTCACTGTTGGGTCCCCATTGGTGGCTACACAGAAACAGCAAAGAAGAGAAACCAGACATCTTGCTGTCCCAATAAATAGTGTGATGATACAGAGATTTGTTTTATCTTTATCTGTCAGCTCCAATTCTCATCAGGAGACCCAGGGGGGCTCCCGGAGCAGCCCCTCGATGTGGCACACACCGGTCCCAGCCCAAGAGCACAGCATCCCTCACTGGGATGGGGAGACTCAGGAAAGGGGTGACCGTGAGGGAACACCCCCCGTCCAACACGCCGCTGAGAGCAAACTTTGAAGAGTAAAATTTCAAATATCCTCCGGTCCTAAATGTATTCTGCAGTGTTTGCAGTGGCACCGAGGT